TATTATGTGTGATGTTTACTGCAGTGATCAGTAGTTTAATATAATCTGATTAGCATCACGGGGTTCTTATGTCACAAAGATCGATTGTTATACTAATTAGTGGTAATAATGCATCACAGTTATTATAAGTGTATGCTTCAGGGTTTCAATTGCAATTGATTCTTTATTTCTTATTTTTTTTAAGGGTTGAAAAGCTTAGGACAAGGTTTCTAGTACTAAAGAACTTAGAGTTAATGCTTCTATTCAGATTTCAAAGACTAAACTCTACTTGGACTATATGACGAAGTAACAGTTTATTTTATAATACTGGGACAGTGCCAAGGTTGTTTAGACAATTTTTAGGAACAAAGGGGAAAAGATAAGTAACTTCTACTATTAGGGCTTCGAAGTTATTGAGTTTAGAGTTTTTAGAACTCAACTGAGTTATATTTTATTGAAAGAAAAAGTGCTCCTTATATAATTGTCTTTATATATAGAAGAATTCTTTTAATTCTAAGTTATTTGTGCTATCTAATAGATAACGAGAATAAAAACTTATTTTCGTTATCTAGTAGAATTACTATAATCTATTAGATAACAAGAATTCTTAATGATTTGTGCCACCTGTACCAATAATTCGGGATTATTACTGACAAAAATCTAAAAATAGAACTAGTAGGGTTCATTTACACTCTCACAATATGCAGATATACCGTATTTGCACGTAATAGTAGGCCGGTGTAAAAAGGCGAACCTGGGGTGACTATAATTCATAACTAAAACACAACCATCAAGACAAGACTACTCGAAAGAGGGCGTGGAAGATTTGGTCCGAGAACCAAGGAACCTGGTGCCATTAGAATCCTTGGGGCTGTCGTTAAATGGTCTTTATTATTATAATACTTACTACTTTTCAAATACATGAAATCAATGGTTGTTTATACATTACAGATAACCTTGGGCTTTGCTACAACGATTAGAATCTCTAATCAATATGACTATTTAAAGTATCGGTGATCTATGACTAACGATGAGTAATTCATACTCATTTTATGACTATGACTTTAGTTACCACCATTGAATATCAGAGGCGTCTTACTATTGTTCTTCAATGGAGCATCGCCTCAAGCCAAACCCAAATTGGCATTTATTAAATTCTTTCGTTTTTGTTGATCAATGCGTCCCGAGTCATATGCTTGGATCACGTTTTTCTCTGCGGCCGGATCACGTTACCCTTTCACACTGGGTGTTATTTTGAGCAAGGCCCGAATTAAGCTTAATTACACCCCTGCACGTTATTACGCGCAAATACGGTACAGACAATTTAAAAGAAATATTATTTTGCAGGATTCATTTTAGAATTCATATATTTTCCCTTTTATTGATAGATAATTTCCACAAAATACGATGAATATAAAGTGGCCTCAAAAAAAAAAAAAAAATCATGCAGATCATCGATAAATATTCGTGAGTTAGATAAATTTATAATTTATCATGAGAAAGTTAAGTATAAAGATTTTATTAGTGCTACAAATTGCCAAAAATTTTGCAATCGATTAGTTGTCAACTTTGCGATTATTCGATTTTTACTCGATTTTTGTTCGATTTTTATTCGAGTTGCCAAAAATTTTTCAATCGATTAGTTGTCAACTTTTGATTAGTTGCGATTTTCGATTTCGATTTGTAGCACTAGATTTTATTATCGTTATCAGTTATAGTTAGGTAGCGATTTACACATTTACGTATGTGCTTAATGTTAATATTAACGTTAATCCAGTGAAGTGATTGAGCAAAATTGAAATTCCTGTTGATCTGATATTTAAAAGGTGGAGTTGAAACGTTTCACCACATCTTATATTTGTTATATATATCAGATATAGCCTTTTGTACGTACATACGTGCATACGTACTAAAGTTTCTTTAATATGAAACCATTACCCAACGAATGCTTGTTTAATATATTTGACAAGCTCCAAACCGATTATAAAAGCTTATTTTCATGTCTTCTTGTAAACCGTGAATGGTGTAGAATGGTTGTACCAATATTATGGAGCGAACCTACAAATTATTTTATTGATACAAGACTTATAAAAATATTTCTTTCAATGTTAAATGCCGAAGAACAATCATTATTAATTCCTTTTAATAGCATCCTTCCAAATTATCAAAAACCATTATTTAACTATACAAGTTATACTGTATCTATTGGTCATTGTTTTCAATATGGAATCGAAAAATATCTTTTACAGATAAAAAAAGAGAAAAGAAACGTAACTGCAACAATGGCACGTAAAAAATCTGTAATCATTGCTATTGCGAACATCGTTAAATGTTCTTTGATTACAATGTTCTTACGGACAAGTAAGAAACTTAAATATTTAGAACTTGGAGAAATCACTTATAATAAAATATTATAAAAACTCTACTGTTATCTCTATGGAATATTATATTAAAAATGACTTTGAATTCAAGGCAATGGAAGCATTAATTAAGATTCTTTATAAGAATGATACTCTGACTTTTTTGAATCTTAGTCATAGTCAACTCAGTTTTGTGGCAGGAAAAACACTAGCCGAGGCTCTTTGCAAGAATACTACTCTTACTTTTTTGAATCTTAGCGATAATCAACTCGATTATGAAGCAGGAAGAGCATTAGCTGAAGCTCTTTGCAAAAATGCGGCTCTGACTTCCTTGGATCTTAGTTATAATCTATTGGGTTCCGAAGGAGGTAAGGCATTAGCGGAAGCGCTTAGAAAGAACACCACTCTTTCTTCATTAAATCTTTGTAATAGTTTTATTGGTTTTGAAGGAGCAAATGCGTTAGCAAAGGCTTTATGCGAGAACACTACTCTAATTTCTTTGAATCTTGGCTGTAATCAACTCGGTTATGAAGGAGGGAATGCGTTTGCAGAAACTCTTTGTAAGAACGTTACCCTGACGTCTTTAATTCTGTGTTATAATAATATTGGCTCTGAAGGGGGGAAAGCATTAGCTAAGGCTCTTTGCAAGAATACTACTTTAACTTCTTTGAATCTTTACAATAATCAACTTGGTTCTGAGGGAGGAAAAGCATTTGCAGAATCTCTTCGGAATAATTTCATTGGTTTTGAAGAAGTAGAGACTTCATGCAAGAATACGACTCTGACATCTTTGAATCTTGGTTATAATCATCTTGGCTCTGAAGGGGGGAAAGCGTTAGCAAGGGCTTTATGCAAGAACGCTACTCTAACTTCTTTGAATGTTTGTAATAATCATCTTGGTACTGAAGGAGCGAAAGCATTAGCAGATGCGCTATGCAAGAACACAACTCTTGCTTCATTAAATCTTCGTAATAATCGCATTGGTTTTGAAGGAGGAAAAAAATTAGCAGAGGCTATATGCAAGAATACTGCTCTAACTTATTTAATTCTTTGGAATAATAGTATTGGCTCTGAAGGGGGAAAAGCGTTGGCAAAAGCTTTATGTAAGAACAAAACTCTAACTTCTTTAAATATTGGCAATAATCATATCGATCCTGAAAAAGTGAAAACGTTAGTAGAAGCATATGACGAAAATTTTAATTTTACACGTATCCAATTTTCATTACCCATTAATGATTGGAATCGATGAGTTTTGAACATCGTTTGGTCAAAACACTAGAATTTCAAACAGTGATGAAAACTTTGATCGAACATTTGAATTTCAGCAAGTTTTTAAAATATATATCATACATTACCGGACAGCAAGAAACATCCACTTTATATATATAAATATAAAAATGCTTATAACTCCTGAATAAATAACTTTAAAAAAAATCTGTCTTACAGATTTGTTGCTTTTAGTCTAAGCTACAATTCTGTAAGACAGATTTTTATTTTTATTATAAATTTAAAAAGTTATTAGAGTCTAATGTTTATATGTAATCAAAAATTTGGCGTTTAATATATAAAAAAATTGGTTTATAGATTTTTAACCAATCAGAATCTTGTTACACGAAAAATAGCCAATCAGATTTGAGTATTAACCTCAAAATTTGGCACTTTTAAAAAAAATTGGATGTTTCTTGCTGTCCGGTACTGTATAAAAAATTTTTTATCGTAATATTAAATGTCACGGCTGAAGCTGGAAATTTTAAATATTTTAATATTTTGCACAATTGTATTTGATTGGTCGATTGTTTTTTAGTCATAACACTAATATGAATTTTCAAAAATTTTCGAGTGCATTTTTTTTGCATTTTTTTTAATAATTAGGTTAGGTTTTTAGGGTTAGTTTTTATAATAAAAGATTTTTCGGTAGGGTTTATATTTTTTAAATAAAGGCCTCTATGTTTTAGAAATATTATTTTGCCGAGTTATTTTGGATTAATAATATTCTCTTCGCATTCATAACATTTCCTGAGTCTGAAAATACGAACTCACTTAGTATGCTTGTTGCAAAAATCGTAAGAAACTTTCTTGCCGTTTCATTTAAAATCGGAAATTGCCATTTTGTAAAAGCCACCACATTACACGATATGCTTCAGAATCAAACCCGGAAAGAATAACTTTGTTATCATCTTGATTTTGAAAGTTTAATGAAAAATACTTTTTAATAAATCAATTTTAAGTATTTAATTGTTTAAAGTGTAATAGCAGGATTTCGAATTAAGTATTTTGTCTTGCATAGGAATTCGATCTTATGGTTTTAATTTACTCACTTGAGTATTTGGAATTCTTTTTCAAAAATGCTTAAATCACAATATGTTACGCTATTTTTAATACAGTAAGAAAAGACCATTTTAAATGGCTCGAAAGCTAGAATTTTAACTATTGCATATTTATAATATAAATCATAAATTTTAGAATAATTTCAGATCGATTATTTCTGACATATATACTGTATATTGTAGTTGAATTAATAGCCAAATGAAAACAAATTTTTGGAATAATACATATCAGATAAATAGATTTAAGTGAATAACTATTATGTTATCATAATTATAGATATTTTCAATGCGACTAAGAAAATGTTGACACTAGTCATTAATAAATTTCGATTAATTACTTTCCAATATATTTTGCAGCCTGTATCCATAAATAACTTGGATCTCTAGCACTTCGTTCGTCATAATATAATTGATAGTCTGCTGGCCTAAAGGAAAAATCCAAAACTTCATTTGTATTCTTAATACTATAAGCTTCAGCCATGGTAAAATCTAAAGTTAAATTCGAAGGAAAAGTTAAATTAGAAATTAAAGAATTATCAAGATTTTTAAGTTGTGTAAGGTAAGTTACAATCGAATCAGTAGAAAATGAGGCACCGCCACTAGATGAAGCAAAGGAAAACCGAGTATTTGGAAATCCACCAACTGATATGGTTGGAACATTAATTTCTGCTAACCGTTGAGTTATAATTGAACATGATGAAATACATATTCCATTTGTCAAAATTATAATATCCTTTTCAGTCCAAGGAAGCTTTGGAGGTGTTGGAAGTTCTAAAGTTCCACCGTAAATTGATGCTTCATCAAGAAATGCTTTTGATGTAAATTTAAGCTGTATACCGCCACGAGTATATGTATTATTTCCAATAAATTTCATAACGCTATTAAATGATTTGTCTGTATTTATAGAAATAAACGTTTTATAATGAAATAGAGCCCCAACTTGACTTTTAAGCTTTGACACTTCTTCTATGAATGGCATAGAGATATTATTAACCTTCATATCCAATGGAAAATTTTGTATATTAGGAAATAAGAGCTTATTTATATAGTGTGCAACAAAGACATCGCCACCACCGTTATTACTTAAGTCCAAAACAATCTAGTACAAATATTTTTTAAATATTTTTTTTTTTTTAGTATTTTATACGTATGTAATACGTAGCTTTAATATTTGCAATTCAACTTACTTTTTCAATCCCTTTATCTGCAAGCAATTTAAATCCAACAATTATGTCAGACAGAAAACGATATTTAAGATTATCGTCATCATTTAAAATAGTTTCAGTTGAAATCAAGACCACACCAAAATCTTGTAATATATAAAATCTTGCAATAAATGCATCAAAGATTAAAGTTGCTTTTCCGACTGAAGTTCCACTAATATATGGAGATTTATATTGCCTAATTATATTAGATTTATCATTAATAGGAACTTGCCATTCTCGAGTAATTTTAGAGATTTTATTATTACAATTGAGTGTATAAGAAATATTTGGATTTTTTGGTAATTGAGTTCGTAATGTGAATAATTGTCCAAAAATATGAAAATCACCATTTCCGAAAGAAAGTGATGCAAGAGCTGAATTAAACCTAACGCTCAAATCTCTTGACCAACTTGTGTTATTTTTAGCAAATTCAATAATTACATCAATCGCCGGTCTGTCATCTATATCTATAACTTGACAGTCTATGGTACTAGGATCTACGTCATTAAAAACTTTAATTTGCTAAAGTTATAAAATTATAACAATTAATACAATTTTTTTTGTACAGTATCACGATATTTAATCATTTACCTGTGTGCAGTCTTTCTTAATCACAGAATACAATGAAAGTCCTTGATAAAAAGTATATTTGTGATAATTACTAGAAGAGAGCCTGTTACCAAATATAAAATTATTAACTATGTTTTTTAACGATATTTTAATAAAAGAAATAATTTACCAAGTGTGTCCATCTCTCAATTCCCCAATAAGATCCGCGACATCATACTAATATAATCGAGTAAAAATAAAATTATTGAAGTGATTTGTAATATATTTATATTGGCATACAATATAAGTACTGTGAATATTTACAATAAATTGAAATTCATACGAATAATTATTCTTTAATATCAAATCTAATTCAGATATTAGATCAATAGGTCGAAAAGTAAACCATGAATTTGGTTGTTCTTTTGCTTGATCTAGGAATACATAGAATCCTTTAAGATTTTCCTTCACTGCATCTATTATCTAATATTAATAAATTTTAATTAGTATAGTATTAACTCTATATTTACGTTTTATTTGATCAAAATTATGAATACCTCAATTGCTTTTGTTTCATTATACGGGGTTAATTCATAACAAGCTTTTACGTCCGAATAATTAAGAAATTGTTCTTCCGAATAAATTGAATTAACATATTCATCAAGCTTATCACATGCATTGAGATTTTCGTTACGTGGTGAATATGCGCTACTGGTTATAAATAAAATAAATATGAATGTTATAAGGTAGATTATTTTCATTTTGATATATAATAATTTAATTTATTTAATCAACCCGAATTAAACTTTTTTTTATACACTTTATGGCGATTCTGATCCCATTTTTAAAATTGGTTTAAATTTAGACTTTATTCTATTTATAACTCCGAAATGCAGAAATAACGTTAATCTTTTTTCTACTATTTTTCACTTCTATATTTGCCTATTTTGTCATATTTTATACGTAGCGGCGTAATTTGTGTCATGTTCGTAGAAGGATAATGTTATATTATTCAGGAAATTGATCATCCAGATAAGATTTGGTTAATTAATATTGAACACAGTAAAACCCTATAAGAAAAGTGGTCCGGGTTGTGACTCGGGTTGGTTTCGGGAATGCACGAAATGGTACGGATGTGGCACGTAGATGCTCATTTTACGTGATGGCACGGTAAAAATAGTACGGACATTACGGCAAAGTGGTGGCACGTTTTGTTACGTCTTACGGAATGGCACGTATCTCAAGAGCGAAGTATCAGTAAATGTCTTTTTTTAAAAAAAAAAAAATGCAATATCTCAAAATTTCACCGATAAAATTGTTCTGGTAACTTAACGAAAAAAATTCCTTGCAGAATTTTACGCATATGCAATTACTTTATTTTCAAATACATACTATATTGATGATTATTGATGTAAATTTATGTTTAGTATGAATATTTGGTACGTGAATTTACGTACACCTGCACCAAACCCGTGCCAATTGGGCTAGTAAGGTGTTGCAAAACCCGAGTCATTAACGGTCTGGTATACGGACCAACACGAGCCAAAAATCCGTACCAATTCGAGCCTCTTACGTCAAGATCCGGGCTTTATCTGTGTCACCGAAACCCGTGCCATTCTGCGCCAGCTCGTACAATTACAGTACATTTTTCTTATAGGGAAAGATTTAATAGCAACCTAGCTTCAAGAGAGAATATAGAGTAAATAATGTTAGATTGCGAACGTTTGAGTTATAAAAATAAAGCATATATAGGTCTTAGTTACGGAAAATAATCAGCCTAGCGAGAATATTGGCATCTATGAGGGTGAAAACAATGAAAATACAAAAAACACTGATGCTATAAATAAATCGGGATGTGCACTTTATTACAAGAAAAAAAAGATCATTTGTTAAACTAATAATTAATCAATTTTTTAACCTGCTAAATTGCAGAACGCTATGGAGTAAGCTTCATTTATTTATTTTTATTTTTATTTTTATTTTTATTTTTTTGTATTTGATATCCCTTTATCTGCTCTACCTATATTTCAAGATCACTCGAAATTCACGTTTTACGGTTCGTATCAAATAAGTTAACAGCGGCAACCCTGTAAAAAAAATATCATAATTTCTCTGTTAATTATTATAATAAAAAGTTCTATTATATCACCATAATACTCCAGCATTGGTCTATATAATTGTCATAAAGTTCAGTTAAGTTTTCACGTTTGTTCCATATTATTTTTCTTTACTATGGAATAAATGGAAAACATTACTGAATTTGCATAAATAAAAAAGCCTGAATTTTATAATGAGAAAGTAATATACATATTTCATTTATGGATAAATACGTAGTACATGCCAGGTCTTTGTTCTGTGTAAAGAATTTTTTTTTACCTACAATTTTCTTTTTCGCTTTCCACTTATATAAATAATAAATTAGATTGTGTAGATAAAAAATATCATGCTTTGTAAAATAATACTTAATAATATTACTTCAAGAAATGATTTTAATCAAGCATAATTCTGACCATAATCCAAAGTAATTATTTATACCAGTTTAAAGCTTGGTATTTAGATTTTATTTTTCGTATCTACTTGTTGCTTATTAAAAATATTTATTAATGTTTAACATGTGGTATTGGTCCTGATTATTATTATTATATATAGCAATCTGAATTTTTTTGTAGAATAAGTTTGATTAAATATAGAGTTTTGTATACGGTATATTGAAGTTAATTGCAGATTAATTTAATTATTTTGCTAAATCAACTTTTTTTAATGAATTCTAATTTTACTGAATATAAAAAGCCAAAAAAAAGTACTAGCAATAAGCCAATTTAGAAGTGTTATATTGTATAGTTATAAAATAAAGAGAAGCTTATAAAAATTTTATAAATTGTTATATATAAAATAAAAAAAAGCTGTTCGGCCGTGTCTATTTAAAAAGCTTCATGTTATGAAAACCAATAAATTAAATTTGTGTGGCCTTAATAATATTATTGAAAAAAAAACCACAATAGAAAGTAAAGAAGAACTACAATGATGTTAGTTTATTAATTATTGGATTGAATTAGGAAATAGTAAAAAATTTTTAGAATGAGATCATAATTTTAGTTTGGCAAGCCATACTGTATATTCTTTTAACAATAAAAATGCAAAGGTAAGTAAAGATAATCTTAACCCTCATTATATATAATCATTGGATAGGTTCTATCATTTTTATCTGAATTTTCTGGTAAGTGAGGGTTATCTCAACCCTCATTATATACAACGTCGTCAAAACGTGGGTTTGGTTACTCTCATCTGATATTTTTAGATAAATAGTAATATTGACCCTTATTATTACAATTAGGGATGGGTTCAGCTATGAACAACTACGATTATTCATTGCCAATTTGCCAAATGCTGAGTTGACTTTTTATTTGAGATTTTAATTAAAGTTGTTCAGAATTAAATTCTGTTATCCCATATTATAAGAGAAAAGAACAATACCTTCTCTGGAACTCGGAATTTTAAAAGTTGTTAACGTCATAGCCGGCTACTAACAAATTTTAAAATTCCGAGTTCCAGAGAAGGTATCGTTCTTTTCACTTATAATATGGGATAACAGAATTTAATTCTGAACAACTTTAATTAAAATCTCAAAAATAAAAAATCATCTCAGTATTTTCTGGTAAGTAATATTCATCTTGACCTTCATTATATGCAATCATCATCTGATATCTCTGGTAAGTATATATACGATTATTGAAAACGCATGTTTGATTGTCCTTATTTGATATTTTTAATAAGGGTTAATTTGAACCTTATTTGTTAGATCATTGAAGACATGAGTTCGATTGCCTTTATCTGATATTCTCTGGTAAGTGATCTTGACTCCTATTATATACGATTATTGAAAAAGTAGGTTTAGTTACCCTAATATAATATTCTCTAGTAGTGATGAAATAAACCAAGCTGCTGTATTCAAATTTAATTGTTTTAAACATTGAGTCAGAAACATATGAATATTTAGCACCTCAGCCTTTTGGAAATAAACCACCTACATTAACGTATCATACCGCTAATTTATATGAATATCATATGATAGTATCTTTTGGTGATTATTGCTATTCATTAAATCATAATTATCAATACATATTTTAATAAAGGTAATATTTAGTACTTACTTTTAAATGAACAGGAATATTATCGATGATAATGGCACATCAACGTCAATTAGAGTTAACTCAAATGTCTATTTGCTGAATATAAAACGCCTAAGGGCAATGACATTTATTACGTAATATCCATTTACTATAAGGGCTACCCCCCTCCCCCCACGTAATATCTATATTATTGGCCAATTTAGAAATTATATAATTTCTTTGTGTAACGTAAGATATTGATATAATACATGCCTAACCCCCCACCCCTAAAATATTACGTAATAAATGTCAGAGCCCTAACTTGGGTATCTTATTTTGAATCTGGAAAATCTAATTGTATGGTAAAGTCTGTACTGGTTTAGTTAGCTTTCTTATAAGCATAGAATTATCAACAAACCACAGAATTTATGCATTTCAAATTTCTACATTCCTGACATCGGTTAAAATACTTAGAATCTTGACTGGGTATGTCTTTATCGTAATTGAATATTTAATCTATTTAGAATATGTTCTCTTTAATAATTACTCTGGACCAGGTTTTGTATTTTTAAGGATTAGTATTTATAGTTTTCTTTTTACAAGTCTTATAATTTTTGGAATATTCATAAGACATCCATATTAGTATTTCTTTTTGGTTTTTTTTTTAAGTATGTTTATCTTATTTATATGGTATTTTTCCTCATATATTGCAACACTTTCTATTAGTTTTTGCCAATTAATTATTAGCATAATCTTTTCGGCATTCGGATGGAAAAAGCATTTGGAGATAGTTAAAAAAATGATACCATTTATTGAAGTTGGTATTATGCTTATTTTAATTATTATATGGATCTTTTTATGTATAAGGGACCTATTAATCGAATTTTTATTGCGCCCATTTTGGTAAATACATGGGTAATTGCAAAGGAAATACCTACAATTTCGTTCTTTTCATTGCACGTATTGTATATGCATGCTTATTTTTCAGACTAGTAAAAGCGGAAGTAATATAAATTAGAATAGAGTTTCTGTGGAAAATGGAAATATTATGAGTCAGAATATAAATCCCATGACAGAAATTTTAAAATCTACATCATTATCATGGATTCCATTTAAAAATTTGCAAATTATTAATAAGGTGGATTTGCAACTGTATACCTAGCTAAATGGATCAACAAAGACAAAGATGTTGCACTTAAGCTTCTTCGTGGCTCAAAGTAATTCTGATAGATTCATGATGGAGATAGATATATATAATTTATCTGTATTTTACTAACGGTTATTATTATATTGTAGCTAAAGGCATTCCATGATATTGGGCGAAATTTTTATAATGCTATGGGAGCTATCACTTATTACGTAATTATAGCCTCCCTCCAGAGTCAGTTATTTGACAATTACAAGTTCTAAAGTAATCATAATATAAACTCTATACGATTGGTTATTTTA